ACGTGGGGGCGGGGGGGGGGGGGGGGGAGATGAAAGGTGTTAGAATAGATTAAATTCAGGTTCTAGAACTACTTGGAAAAAATGCTACCCCTCCCCCTTTTTAAAGAAACCACAAACAGTGACTTGAATATTTAACAATATATATTTTATATATTTGACTTATGACAGCCCGAGTTATGACAGTCCTCCAGGAACCAATTAAGTTGTAAGTGGGGGGGGGGGGCACCTGTAGGTGCCTTTGAGGCTTCCTAAGTCTCCTGGAAATAGTGATACGCGTCTGGACTGTCCTTGCTGTCTGTCTCCAGAGCACAGAGTTGTTGGGGGTGGACAACTCGGTCTAATCACTGGAGGATCCCTGTGGTTTTTTTTATTCCTCTCATGGCATCCCATGGTGGTTGGCAGTGGTAGCCTTTCCAATAACAGGTGTTAGGGCACACAGTATACCAAAGCCACTGGGGAGCAGCGCTGAAGATGGGATATGGTTTGACAGCTAAAGATGGGTGTAGATAACAGAGGAAACATGGAGTAGGATTCCTATTTGCCCTTGAATTGTGCCCAGGTTGAGGCCTGCAAGCAAACCAGAAAGTAGAGGATGCTTCAACTTCCACCAGGAGACTGGCACTATAGTCATCATAGGAAGGTTTGCTACTCCTGCATCAGGCTCTTTTCCTGGACTCTTCCTAAGCATCACTGATGGGCTGACTTTGGTGTGTCTCCTTTCCTTTGTCAAAATGCTGGACAGCCTCATAACCTATCATAATGAACCATACAGTTGGTGTAGTGGGACCTATTTCGTTTAGTAGAGGAAGATTAGGGAGTGGGCACATTTCAGGAGGAGATGGAAGCATCAGTTGAACACAACTTACAGCTTTGCAGGCCCCAGGGCAAGGTATGGGCTAGGGCCTGCTCGGCAGGTTTTTTGGGGAAAGTGATGGGACTGGGGCTAGGCAGACCTCAACGCCATCCAGAGTGCCACGCCTCCCCAGGTAGCCCTGTGTGCTGCCTGGAGCACACAAGCACAGCATCCCTGCAGCAATGTGAAGGGCCCAGGGCTCTGGCCACAGCAGTAGTATCACCATTGGTATTACCAGGTCCTGGGTAGTGGCCTCCTTTGTCCTCCCTTCCTCAGTGGGCCTTGTCTGCTCAGCTTAGACATAGAAAGCAATTTCAATACTAAATTGTAATTGGGACAGTGGATTGTCTTACACAATTTATGGTAAGAGCGAGCCAGGGTTGAACAAGTCATCAGCTTAGCCAAGTAAACAAAAGGGGAGACCAAAAAATTCTGAATTGTCTACTCGCTCTCACCTCGGATCTGGTTTAAGCTTTCATAATTCTCTTCCAAGATCTTTGCATTGACAGAGTGATCAACTATAGAGGGGGGGGAGGCAGGGGTGTGTGTGTGTGTGTGTGTGTGTTCGTTCATTCACATGGCTGCATCTTGGGGCAGGTGTTGGGGAGAAGAAGGGTTGGCAACTTTCACTTATCTCAGCCTCTGGATACTTGCAGGTCAGGTGGACTTTACTTGAGCTTTGCATTGTCACAGTTTCAGGCCCTAGCCAGAAAGCAAGATCAGCTGTAATAGCTTCTGATCTAAATGTTCGTTCTCTCCTAAAGATCTTGCTGATTGGGGGGCGGGGAGATGAAAGCTGTTAGAATAGATTAAATTCAGGTTCTAGAACTACTTGGAAAAAATGCTACCCCTCCCCCTTTTTAAAGAAACCACAAACAGTCACTTGTATATTTAACAATATATATTTTATATATTTATATATATATTTCTAAATCAAAACATTCAGTTTTAACTTGTTTTTCTTCACAAACAGAAGAACTCTTACAATAGTAGACTTTCTAAAATAAATACTATTAAAATAGAGCTTCAAAATAAATATTCTATACAAAGGAAACCTTCCGTAGTAACTTTCAGGGTATGTGTGTATGGAGGTGACTGGTAGGGGAGGGAATCCTTGAACAGCTTTTCATAACATGAAAGGAAGAAAACCCCAAACCCCAGTGCTGCAAAAGAGACAGAAATGGAAGAAATAAGCTCGAGAGGTTAGTTTACTAAAAGCAATGAGAAACTGCTTCTGAAAGGCAGTAAAACATAAGTGTTGTGCCAAAGCCCGTCCCAACTTCCTTTACAGCATAGCATACCTCGGAGGGAAAACCTTTGCTTCCCCTGCACCAGGTACACAGAAGATGCAAATTAAAAACAGACATCACAGGATGCACAAAATGGGCATGTCCTCTCAGCTGCCTTCCTCCCACTTGGGCTCATGATGATGGCGGCAAGCTCCCTCTGGCCCTGTGCCAACATGACCCTGTGCCATTCTCCTGATAAGGCCCGGCCTACATGTAGGTTGACATAGCTTTGGTGCGCAAGGGTGTGTAAAAAAGCCAATCCCAAAAGCCGTAACTATCCTGACCTAATTCCCACCCCTCCCCCAGTATATACAGGTAGGTGGGGGGAAGAATGCTTCTCTCAGCCTAACTACCATCATTTGGGGAGGTGGTTTTTCTAAATCACTTGGGGGGGGGGAATCCCTTCCATTGCTACAGGCTGCACCTGCACAAGGGGGTTATGCTGGCCTAGCTATGGTGCTGTAGCTGTGCTGCTGGCGTCCTTGTAGCATAGACATGGCCTAAGAGACAGGGGTAGCTTGCAGGGATCACAGACCACTTTGCATGTCAGGATCTGTTGTCTCTGCATGAGAGGAAAGCAGCTTATTTCATGCAAACTAGGTGTGGCTCTAGCCTAGATAGATTTACATAGCATATTCCACTGTCCCTGTATTCTTTGTCTCAGGAGTGGCATGAGGTCACGGTGGAAGTATGTCCCTTATAAGTGAAGGGGGAGGAGTGGAGGCAAAAAGGGGAAACTTAGTAGATGGCTGGAAAAATACTCTCCATCAGCATAGCAGCCAAAGGCATCTAAAGGCATAGCGTCATATTGTCAAGGCTCCTCTGGCCTGGTCTAACCCAGAATCTTTTGAATGCTATGCAAGAAGCTCAGCAACTTTGTTGCTATGCCTCAGGCAAAGAGCTGGTGAAACATGCTGCCTGATTGCTACACCAAAAGGGGCTTGAAGAATACAAGGAGTTTCATTCTGCTACATTTACCACTGCACTAACACATCCACTAATGCTTTACAGTCTTTCAGCCTAGGATCAGCTTACATTATAGCAGGGTTTATATATTAAAAGAAACCAATGGAGATAGGTGTTTACAACTATATACAAGGAAAGTAAAAGTTGCTGGCGGCCATTTTCATTAGAAGAGAATTTAAGAATATGGAGTCGCTCTGTGTGAGTGTGTGTGTGTGTGTGTGTGTTCGTTCACATATGTGTGGTGTGGCACAACAGAGATCCAGAGATCATTCTGATATGATGTTTGTTTGCAGTAACATGCATCCGGCCAGCAGGATTTCTATTGAAAATCTGCACTAGGATATCCTGCTGCACTAACCTATGGCCTGGGGTCATTAGAAAATGTATAGCTGGAGGCCATTTGGACATTGCATATGTTCAAGGTGGAAGATTGCTGATGTAGATCTCTGTGTTTGTTGCCACGTCTTTTAATCCATTTGCACTTAAAGAAAATGACATCATTCCATTAAATAGCAATGCCTTATACATTCAACCAGCAGTTCAGCCAGTTTGAGGCTTTTCCTTTTTTTTCTTAGCAAAATTCCCTCTGAGTTGTGCATGACTAAACATACAAACCTCTTCACAGCACACACAGTACAGTATCTTCCACACAGTATTTTCCAGGTGAGGGTAAGATACAGGACTCAGTATCTGATAACATAGATGTAGTATCTCTTTTCTATGATTTATCATAACAAGCCAGCTAATGCTATAAATACAAAAAAGGAAATTAAAAAAAAAACAATTCCCCACTTAATAAATATCTACAATTAAACTTAAGAAAAAAAAGTCACCCGCTCATAAATGATTTCTTAAGTAAAAATTAAAAAAAAACACCTCCCATCAGTACATTTGGAAAAACAAAACAGCAATTGTATCACAACCAAGCAAATGTGATTTCTGGAAAATGCTACATGAGCTTTGCCTATTGCTTATCTAATTAAGATGACATTTCTCTGTCATTGCTCTGCATTTACGTAGTACATTTCCTCTAATTAAAACACACACACACACACACGCACACACACACTTTAGATCAGCTTTCAGCATGCAACAAGTACCTATCTATCTGATTTGTTGCATGTTAAGACTAAGGTTTTTGAATAGCACCTTGCAGTTGTTAAGAGAAAGGGGTTACTGCAGTGTAAGGGAGGGAAGAGCTGGCCCTTGTACAAGTGCACAGACAAAGATTATGATCATCAGCTACAGAAAAACAAGGGCCGGGTTCCATAAATATGCACCCTTGGCTTTCCCCAGTACTCGTTCACACTAAAATAGACACTTTTTAATTTCTCTATTTACACTTTTCAAAGACACACTATTATACAGAAAAGTCAGAAGTTGAGCAGCAGCAATAGAAATCAAGGAAAAAATATTTCAAGCAAATGTCATTCTGCCAAAAAAAAGTGTTCTTAATATTATCAGCAAAGTAGGCCTGAAGAGTTTGTTCTGTGAGAACTAGTATTGGATTGATGTTCATTAAAAAACAAACAAACAAAAATAACCATACATGTGTATTGTGCCCAGTTTTTCTTGACCTTGCTTTTACTACAGCTTGAGAAGGTGGGAGGTGGAAGGGGGGAAAAGAGGGAAGGGAGAAGAGAGAAATCAAACTTCTCAGCTTAATAGGATTTCTGTGTCAGCATTTGCTGAAAGAAAAAAAAAAAACCACACTGCAGAAGCTGAATTAATTCAAAGCCCCTTTGGAAAAAAGTTTTACTGCTAATGTAATAAATAATAGCGGTCTCATTTAGTAAACTTTTAAAATATGAAACTGTAGACTTAGGCTCACTAGCAAAATGACAATGTAAAATTTCAAAAGAAGTTGACATAAAGGAGTGAGGGGAGGGAAGAACACATTACGCCCATAACCCTCTTACTGTGGGAGGGAGGGGGCAAGGAGCAGAGATTCCACATGACACACTCTGTCAGAAAATAAAATCTGCATCAAAAAGGGAATGTGATGGGTCGGGCAGGAATAGACATATACCTAAATGGTAATGACAGTTATAGAAAATTATTTGAAAACGTTATTTCTGCTTCAAAGTCTGTTGTGAAAGAGGGAAGGAAAAAAAGCTTTGGGAAAACATTTACTTTGTACTAAACTGGCCCTTTTAATGGTCAAGTGGAAAGAAAAATGGTTAACCCTTTACCTTCAACAGGCTGCTGGTAACAAATCATTAAATTGAAAAAGGAAGGAAACCCACCCTACATTCTAAGCCCACTCTTCATTTTGTGAATGAAAATGAATATTGCTACTGCAGATGTGCCTGCCAAGCTAATAGTTAATTATTCTTGCTGGATGTAGGCACAGCGAGAAGCCAGCACAACAAGCCAGATGGTGAAAAGACTTTTTAAGCAGCTGTACTCTGTGGTCTATGTTGGTTTTTGGCCTGGGCTCTGTAAAGTATTAAGAATCTTCCTCTATTGGCCCCCATCTGTTTAACTTTAGATAATCAATTCCAAAACCCTGAATAACCGAAAGTGCTTCAGTTTATGGAAATAGTTACTTCGGCTTTCTCTGTTGATGGCAAAAGGTTAACACACAAGATCTTCAGAACACAGGTTATAACCTCCCCTCTAGTGTCTCTTCCATCTTTCCCATATCCTCCCCCATGGATCAGAAAGGCTTTTCTGGCCTGCTCACTTTGCCATCCAGTGCCACCTTGCAAATGACACTGTTTGTGTTTTTACATCTACATCCGGGCCGACTCACTTGGTCATAGCATCTCTGAGATAGTTTCACACAACCGGTGGCTGGCAGGTAGCACAGCAAGCAAGGCAGGACCAGAGAGAGGGCACTCATGAAAGACCAGCGGGCACAGCAGTTTGAATGGGAGCAGGAGCAGGGGTGGTCCGCACAGGAGCCCTCATCATCCTCGTTAGTGCAGTGGTAGAAGATGCCCTTCACCAGACACATGCAGGTGGAGTAGTTGACCAGGTTCTGTGCGGAGCAGAGGCACTCCTGGTTGCAGACCCAGCAAGAAGGCAAACTCCTTGGCAGGGCACACTCCTTGCACTTGCATTTCCCACAGGCTTCACACAATAAAAAGTGCTTGTCAGGCTCCTGAGACATGGGTCCCTTCAGATCCATGGGTTTGCAGTTAATCGCCTTGGGCTGTATCTGAACTGCTCTTGGGGAGGACTGATCCACCACAGGGGGTGGCGCCATGTGATCCAAGAGCCTTTGGTCAGAAGACGTGCTGCTGCTGCTGCTGATGGAGCTGGGCCGCCCACTGAAAGAGATCCAGGGGTGGGTGACATCCTGCTCACATCTCTGCAGATGCTGGTTCATCAACGCAGGTTCGTGGTGGCCTCGGGGGCGCTTCTGGGCAGCCATCTGGGCCAGGCTGGGATTGTCGGTGTAGTCATTCTCAATGTGAGTCGTCTTCATTTGGTCAATAGGCAGGATGGTGAGTGGATGCTGCAGCCTCCCATAGGGGATCCGACTGTCCAGTAACGGCTGCACCATGACAGAGTTTGGGACCACAGTTATGTTGTGGGGAATCCGGGGTTCCATTGGTCAGACTGTCCTTCGCCACAGGTGAGGGGGGGGGGAACTGCGTTAGGTGTCCTGAAAAAGAGAAGGGAAAATGGGAATGGTTCCCAAATTAACTCACATTGCCACTATGCCCAGTCCAAGGAGGGCTCCTTGCTCAAAACACTCAGCAAGTGGACATGAATCATCTCCTCTTGTCCAAAGCTGGGATTCATACTAGGACTGTTTGGCTCTCACTGCTCCCACTCATTGCTAACTAGGATTTTAGGTTTAGTAGCCTTCTCTCTCTCAGTGACTGCTGGGGAGGCAAGGAAACTTGTGGAGCTTGCTGGCTTAAGAGTTATCAACCTGTTAAAATATTCTTTATCTACTCATCATGTGACCTTGTCACCTCCCTGGATCTCCACCAAGCAATGACTGGAACAGCGGGGAGCTCACCCTAGCAAAAGGTTAGTCCAACCAGTTTGGGAAGTCCTGGTTTAGTAGACTCACTCCCAGTAGCACAGAGAGTCAGGCCTGAATTAAGCCTCTATGTCAGGGGTGGGAAACCTCAGGCCTGGGGGCCAGATATGGACCCAGCTTGCCTGGATCCAGCCCCTGAGGTTCAAGCCCCACCCCAAGCATTGGGGAGCCCATGCTGGCACTCCAGCCCCCCTACTGCCACGCCACAGGGCTGGAGCACACAAAATCTACAGTACTAGGCTGGGCCTCCCGAGGTTCTTGTGTGCAAGGGGAATGTCTTTCTCCTTCTCACTCGGGGCCATTTTTTTGGCTTCTCACTTGTGTGCACAGAGTCCCAGATCCTGATTTGGAGACCCCTGCCTTCCTCTGGCCATGCCTGGTCTAATTCCTCCTCCCCACCCCTGTGCACAGAGCAGAAGTCCATTCAAGTTACCAATGACAGTGGCAGACCAGTCTTCTCATGGAAAGTCACTCTAGGTTTTTCCAGGGATAATTTTGCTGAAAGCCTCTCACATCTCACTCCCATCCTCCCCATCCCTGCCCCACACCTCAGACCCATGGAAGTCAACTGTGCAGAGTTCATGTGGCAAGCCTTCCACAGACTTGAAGGATAATACTCCTACCAGTACCAACAATCCTGCAAAACTCAAAGACACTGAGGCTATGTCTACACCTCTGGCTTTTGCCAGCAGTGGCAGAGAGTATGCTAATGAAGTGCTCTTTAGCAACTTTCTCATGCTTCATTTGCATAATCTCTGCCCGAGGCTTTCTGCACAAAAACTAGCACCGTAGATGGATCCGTTTTGTGTAAAACCCCCTTTTGCACAAGATCCTTATGCCTCAAAAAAGGAAGTATACAGATCTTGCGAAAAAGGGTTTTTTTGCACAAAACAGATTCGCATACTCTCTGCCGGCAAAATCCGGCAGTGTAGACATAGCCTGAGATATGACACAGGCCCCTGGGACTACACCTCACTAAGTGCAAAAAACAGATGCCAGAGTGCTCTTTACTGCTCATAGGCCTGTGCCACGTGGCATGGAGTATGAATGGCTGCTTCCTGGTTGAAAGCCCTCCCAGAGATCCTGATGCCCTACAGGATTCAAGTTATTCCTCCCATCCCCCTTTACCCTGACTTCAGTTGGGGCATCTTACAATTCCCCAGTTTAACAGAACATATCCAGACCACTGTCTCAAAACACCCACAGCAGTACTGAACAGATTCATCTTTCTTCCTCCCCTATGAACTTGAACCCTCCCTCACCCCCTTGGGGAGCTAGAATGGCAGAGGAGTTTGGAGCAGACAATGCGGGGCCCATATGTTTCGATTCTGCAGTCTGGGTTTGCTTTGCAAAAGGTCCCCAACAACATTTACTTTAATCTTTTCCATCCATGTGCAGATTTTTGCATCCGTGTGTGGAATAATTTTTATGTGCACCAAGGCATGTGTTAATGTGTACCACCATTAGAATCAAAACCGAGCTGTGGGCACTCTGCTAATCAGCTGGGTCGCATTTGAATCTCTCCTGTGTGGCCACTCAAGCTCACAGTTTTCAGGGAGCACTGGTCCCGTTTGTCTCAACAGATTGCCTCAGCCAACTGCCCTCCATCAGACAAATCTTGGCTTTAAAAAGCACAGGTTTTCTACTTCTTTCATCCCCATTATGGGAAACAGAATAAAAAGGAGGATATAGGCTTTATTTAGCAGCCCAATCATTTAAGATAGCAACAACAATCGATAGGTGCAAATTACAGGCAAAGCTCACTTCAATGGAGACCACAGAAAATGTGATCTGAGATCATATCACACAAATAATTTGGTTATCTGCATCAAACATGAAGCAGAAAAACGTATAGTCTAAATGCAGCTTACTAGCCAGAGCAGCTCAACCATCTATTGCTATAGTTTCTAATTTCATTGAAAGAGTGCAATTTATCCTGGAGCCAGTCCAAGGATTCAACTGCAGCGTAGGACACGAAACCACAGGAAGTATCTAAACTTAAATCAAAGAACGGAAACTACTTGGTTCAAATTTAGAAAATGCACATTGTTTTCAATGTGATGGGCCATTTCCTTGCAGAGTGACCTTTATATTTATGAATTATGTTCAGGATCAGTTTAAAGCAGCAGCAAGTAAAACGTCAGATTAAGTTAAAGGGGGCTTTTTGAAATCCAAATGTAGTGAGCTGGTCAGGATTGTTTTTTTTGTTAAAGTCTTAGAAATGTGTGAAAAATGTGGATTTTACACCAAGAGGTTAGGCAGTGTGGACTGATTTATTCATAAATGTTGTCTATATGGAAAGAGCTCATTACTCTTTAAGAGCCACTCAATCTCCTGGCCTAGAACTTTGTGTGTTTATGCAACATACACAGAGCATCCCGTACAACGTGGCTGTTAAATCATTTCTCACAAGTTAAATTAATTGGATGAAAAATACTGTACCAAGAACCTCCCTCCCACAACAGACAACCCTTCCACCACCATATATCAGAGAATTTTTTTTTTGGGGGGGGGAATTAAGTATCTGCTTTAAAATGATGTCCAGAGCCCATTATTAAAATAACATTCTCTTTTATTGACATTTGGGATCTGATCCTAAGAGGTGCAGAGCACCCTCAAATACAGTAAAACCAAAAGGAGGTAAAGTAGCTTAGCACCTCACAAAAGGCACTCGGCATCTTGCAAGATAGGGCTCATGCACTAAAAATGGACTATGGAACATCAATCTGTGGTCAGTACAGCACATGCCTTTTCTGCTGTATTAGCATACGTGGTCGCTGGACTTAAAGAGAGTCTGCCACACGACAAAAAAACGGGACAAAATGTTTTATATCTAGAAGGAATAGTGAAGCTATTTATGCTATCTTAGTCTAAGCCAGTGTCCTTTGCCATTTAACAATTCACTAGTTACTCTTCCTCCTCAGTCATTCATAAAAAAAACCTTCTTAGATTATTCATTGAGAATATGTTCCTAAACAAAAACAAAACCGAAATATTCACAGTTCTTGCAAGTAGAAAGGTTCTGAAAGCACTAATTTCTTAACTGCATGAGCTGCTGTGATGAAATATTGCTTAATTTTCTTTAAAAAAAAAAGAATGATTTCCAATAAGTTGTACATTTCATCTAATTCAGTGTCATAGTACAGGAAATATTTACTAAAGCTCAGAGTTCAGTATTATATAACATGTTAATCACTGAAATTTGTCAGCCAGAGGTTATGCATTTAAAGGAAGACAGTTGGCTCTCACAAGAGCCTAGCTTTTTAAAGCTAAGACACTCGAGATGCAGCTATTTCAGTTGGAAAGGTGTGCACTCAGTCTGGCTGATGTTGGTACGAATGTAGCTGGAACTGTATAAAATGGAGGAATACTGCACCATATTAAAGCAGTCCTGTTTCATGCCCTTTATCTCTGTACCAATGGCTCTCTCATGACAGATCTTTTTAAAAATTAAAAATAGCGCATATGTACTTGCAGCTTCCTAATATCCATTAGGTTCTAATGGAATCCTGGCTGTACTTGATTGAAATCAGTGGAGTTGTGCTCATTCACAGCAGGTCTAAAGTGGGCTGAAAAATCATGATTTAAGGCATGTTATGCTGGAGAGAACATTTGTACGATAGGGCAGTGTCTAATGTAACTGCTTGAGCTCAGCATTTAGCTTAACTTTACAAACTATGGGTTTGATCCCACACTGCTGAATTCACGGCAAATGGGTGCATACCGCATCAAGGAACAGGAACCATCTTAGTGATAAAAGGCAGCTGTCCTGCAAACACCACAATGTTTACAAGGGAACTTAAGACAGTACTACATCTAAAGGGCCATGCAAACACAGCTAGTTACATGGAATGAGCAGGAATCACTTGCATATTCAAAATATTCCACTGAGTCAGACCTCCATCATACAGAGACTCTAGCCAGGTTCAGCAACTGTTATACTCTGTGATAGGTCATATGCAGACCGACATGAGCAGGTGGTTTAATTGGGATATTTAATGTTGGTGAGAACAGCAGTTTTATTTCCTGAATTTAAGTCCCCCTACTTCCCAATAAAAAGCCGCCCAAAGGGATTTTAAGACAGTTACAGTTGAAAATGTCTCAATCACTTGGCCAAAGGTGAGGAAGTCTCATTACTCCTATTTCACAGATGGGGAAACAGACATGGAGATGTGAAAAACCCAGATTTCCTAGATACCACACTTCAGACACACTGTCTCTTTAGAGTATCTCTTAAAATGATATAAACATCCTACCATTTTTTGCTGTTAAATTTCCTCTCCCTGTTCCATACCAAGGTTAGTAGCTATGTAAAACCCCAGTATGGCTAAGACTTCTACAAAAATTCCCTGAAGCATAAGTACCTTGTATGATGCAATAACTTGTCTTTTCTGTGATGGCTCACTCAACCTCTCTGCAGCAAACACTCTGAGCAGCTGGTCAGAGCACTGGGAACTGACATACTCCCCCAAGCTTCATCCCCTTTTACTTTAGTACCGGGGTCCCAGGATAGAAAGAGACCTCAGAATTGTCGACAAGCTTCTTGGAGGCTGAATGTTTAGAAAATGGGCAGATGCACTGGACACTTAAGTTCTATTACGTATTTAATGAAT